GTGCTTTTGCTGTCATACCTAAGAAAGCATTACTTACTCTAAAGTCATGAAGATTTACATCTAAAACTGAGTTACAGTTTTACCCCTTCAGTTCAGGTCTTTGATTCATTTTAATTTTTAAATTTTGTATGCAATGAGAGGTTGGAGAGGTTGGGTCCATACTTACTCTTTTGTATGTGCAAATGTAGTTGTCCCAGCACCAATTTTCAAAAGGACTGCATTTTCCCTATAGAATGGTCTTCCCACTGTCTTCCAAAATCAAGTGACTATTAATTTGAGTTTTTTTCTAGATTTCTCTGTTTTATCCTATCGATCTGTATGTTTATCCTTAATCCAATACACATTGTTTTGATTTCTGTAGCTGTGTAGTAAGCTTTAATATCAGTGTGAGTCCTCTTTCTTCTTCTTTTTCAAGATTGTTTAGATATTCTCTGAATCACTTGAATTATCATGACTTTAGGATCAGTTAATTTCTGTAAAAAGGGACAGTGGGAGTTTTGAATAGTGATTGTATTGAATCAAGGTAAGTTTGGAGATTATTGCCATCTTAACAATATTAAGTCTCCCAGTGAATGAAAATGGATGTCTGTCCATTAATTTGGGCCTTTAATTTTTTTCAATGATGTTTTGTAGTTTTCAGTATTCATGTCTTAAATTTATTTCTGAGTATTATCTTTGGCCTATAAATGGAATTGTTTTAATTTCATTTTTGGATTGTGTATTGCTAGTATATAGAAATACCAGTTTTTGTATATTGAACTTTTATTCTGCAACTGGCGTGAGCCAAGCTACTCATGCTGTTTGACAAAGTCCAAGTATGGGGGACAATCCTGAAAATCAGGAGACTTCACAGCTGGCTCCTGCTACTTCCTTTCCTTTTATTTGCGGCAATCTTTATAATCATGGGATTTTTTCTGGGGTTTCATGATAAAATGATTTATAAATTTAGTTATGCCTATGCAAGCAATCATAATGAAACTGATTCCAGTAAGGCTGACGATGGGCCAAGAAGTAAAAATACCCAATGTCCTCCAATCTGTAAGGGAGCTGTTGGATCCAGGCCCAGTAAAAATTCCTATTGATGAGATTCCTCAGGCACCTCTGAAACATCAGGATTCTAGGAAAGGAAAATCTCATGTCATTCCCACAGTACAGGGACCTCCCTATGTTGCATACAAAATAGGAGGCCACCTTTGGTATGCCCCTGGAGGCAAGCCCTGGAGTAGGATTAACTTCCTTACCCCTACTCCTCCCATTCCTTATAATGGAGTTGATAATGAGGACATGAACAAATGGTATAAGATTAAAGGAAAAAAGGGTGCGGGCATCATCTGTCAACCTCTGGGTAAAGATTAAGAGGAGTAATCCTCCGTGGTGTCTATGGAGCAAGGACAAGAGACGAAAACATATAGAAATGGAATAAGTACTTTGATACGATAGGGTGCACACATTGTGAGCTGCCTTTGGAGAAAGAAACTTTAGATAAACCTTTGAGCAAGAGTAAAAATAGAACTTTTTCGCTTTAGCACACAATAGCAGATAGGTCACGCTTTGTCTCGCACTGTCACGCTCTGTTTAGCACCTTTGTTTTTAAATCCGAAATGGTTGTGATAAAATGTAAAAAACAAAATCACATGTTATGAAAGAATGGAAAAACGAGATATTCTAATGAATAAATAAAGTCCCTCCGAGGCTATCAGGAGGAGATGCTTACAACCTGATCCTGTGTCCGTGTCTCCTCACTCGCCGACGCTGTCCTTTCCTTCAAGAAACCCTTTCCTGCTGGAGCTGGACTCCGGCATGCAACCTTACCAAACTTGTTTGTTAGCTCTAATAGTTAGATTCCTTAAGGTTTTATATATATAAAATCATGCCGGGCGTCTGGGTGGCTCAGTTGGTTAAGCGACTGCCTTCAGCTCCGGTCATGATCCTGGAGTCCTGGGGTCGAGTCCCACATCGGACTCCCTGCTCGGCGGGGAGTCTGCTTCTCCCTCTGACCCTCCCCCCTCTCATGTGCTCGCTCGCTCTCTCTCATTCTCTCTCTCAAATAAATCTTTAAAAAAAAAATCATGCCATCTAAAAATAAAAGTAGTTTTAGTTCTTCCTTTCCAATCTAAATGCCATTTGTTTCTTCTTGCTTAATTATCTTGGCTAGAACTCTAGTACAATGTTGAATAGAAGTACCAAGAGCAGTCATGCCTGTCTTGCTCCTGATTTTAGGGGAGAAAGCTTTCAGTCTTAAACCATTAATTATGATGAGAGCCATGGCTTTTTTTGTAGATATCCTTTATCAGGTTGAAGAAGTTCCTTTCTATTTTGTGTTTGAGTGCCTATATCATGAAAGGATGTTGGGTTTTGTTAGATGCTTTTCCTGTATTAATTAAATTGGCATTGTTTGTTTTTTCTGTTCTTTTATTAATATAGTATATTGCATTAATTGATTTTCATATGTTGAACCAACATTGCCTACCTCGAATAAATCCCACTTGATCATGGTATATAATCTTTTTTATGTGCTGCTAGATTTAGTTTACTAACGTTTTATTGAGGTTTTTTTTGCATATGTATTCACAAGGGACATTGGTCTGTAGTTTTTTGTGGTCTTTGCCTGGTTTTGGTATTAGGGTAATATTGTCTTCATAGAATGATGAGGAAGTGTTCCCTTCTCTTCATTTTTTGGGAAGAGTTTGTGGAGGAATTACATTAATTTTTCTTTAAACATTTGATAAAATTCATCAGTGAAGCCATTTGGATTTGACTTTTATTTCTGGTAAGTTTTTTGATTACTACTTCAGTCTCTTTATTTGATAGAAGTCTTAATCAGATTGCTTCTTCAGTCAGTTGAAGTCTTCTTTTTTTTCTTGGCCATTTTCAATGACTCTGTCAGAGAACCAGTTTTTTGTTTCATTGATCCCCTCCATTGCTTTTCTATTTATCTCTGCTCTAATTTTCTTTTCTGCCCTAATTTTTCTCATTTCCTTCCTTCTGCCTGCTTCAGGTATAGTTTCCTTTTCTTTCTCCAGTTTCTCAAGGTGTAAATTTAGATTATTGATTTGGTATCTTTCTTCTTTTTAAGTATTAGGCATTCACAGCTATAAATCACTCTGTAAACACTGTCTTTGCCAAATCCCATATGTTTTGGTATGTTGTGTTTGTTTTCATTTGTCTCAAAGTAGTTACTTTCCTTGGTTATTTTTCTTGGACCTTCTGCTGTTCAGTTCTCACAAATTTGTGAATTGCCCAAATTTCCTTCTCTTACAAATTTCCAATTTTACTCTGTGTGGCTTCTAACCATACTTTATGTTTCAGTATTTCTATATTTATTAAGACATGTTTTAGGGCCTGCTACATGGTCTGTCCTAGAAAGTATTCTGTGTGCACTTGAGAAAAATAAGTAGTTTCCTGTTGTTGAATTAAATGTTTTCTGTATAAATGTCTGTTAGGTCTAGTTGGATTATAGTGTTAATTCAAGTTTTCTATTCCCTTGCTGATCTTATATGTAGTGTTCATTATTGAAAGTAGGATATAGAAATAACTATTACTATTGATTTTTTTTTCTCTTCTCATTTCTGCCAGTTTTTGCTTCATGTATTTGGGAGCTCTGTTGTTAAGTACTTATGTGTTCATAATTTTTATATCTTCTTGATGTATTAACTTTTCTTGTAAAATGTCCCTCTTTGTATTTAATGAGAATTTTTTGTTTAAAGTCTAATTTTCTTCTAAACTTGGTATGGCTATTGCAGCTCTCTTTTGGTTACTATTTACATGGTATATCTTTTTCCAACCTTTCATTTTCAACTTACTTTCATCTTTGACTCTAAAGTGAATCTTTTTTGAACAGCATATAGTTAGATCATATTTTTTTTTATCCATTCTGCCAATTTCTGCTTTGTAATTGGAGAACTTACCCATATGTATGTGTTATACGTATGGACACATTATGTGGTAAGCTCTTAATGTTTATTGAGTCTGTGAATATTTGTTGAATGAATGAACAAACAAATGGACATTCTCATGTAGGTCCATACAGTCAAAAATGTTAAATTACTATAGTACCAAATTTAGCAATGCGTATGTATATTTCAAACAGTGAGTGTATGTCAAGCCCAGGTGGGACTATGAGGAATGTTAGAGTATTTGAACATTAGAAAAGCATACATGTAATGTGATTTATAGCAATAATAGATTGAAAGAGATTAACTATATGAAGACAGCAATGACCAGGAAGGAATTTCTTATTTAAAATTCATTGCCCATTCAAGATTTTAAAAAAAAATAACAATAACAACTATAAACAAACTAGGAGTAGAAATGAACGTCCTTGGTTTGACAAAATGTGCCTTTAAAAAACAAAAGAAAAACATGTTAATATTGTTTCTTCATGGAGAACTCTTAGAAGCTTTCCCTTTAAATTTAGAAATGAGACAGGGTTGCCTACAATCCCCTCTTACATTTAGCATTGTATTGTACTTAGCATTGAACTGGAAGAACCAGACAGTATAATAGGAAAAGAAAAAGAAATTAAGTCTTAAATCAGAGAAAAAAGAAAAAGCAGTATTCATTTGCTGATTCTGATTATTGTCTACAAAGAAAGTCCAAGACAATCTATAAACAAACTTCTTTACAAGTCGACATTTTTCTAGAGAATTTACATTAGTGTCATAAAGACAAATTTTAAAGTAGAGACATGATGTAATAGTCTTATCCAAAAGAAGATTCTGTTTTGGGGCACCTGGGTGGCTCAGTCATTGAGCGTCTGCCTTCGGCTCAGATGGTGATCCCAGGGTCCTGGGATTGAGCCTCATATTGGGCTCCCTGCTCAATGGGAAGCCTGCTTCTCCCTCTCCCACTCCCCCTGCTTATGTTCCCTCTCTCTCTCTCTGTGTCAAATAAATAAAATCTTAAAAAAAAAAAAATTCTTTTTAGTAGTTGCATTTTAAAGTGTACTTAAGAGTTTTTGAATAATTTTTATAATCAAGTTATATATTTTTTTCCTGTAGAGCTACAGAGACTTCTGATGAAGTGGAGAGCCTGCGACCCCCTCGATTCTTTAATGAGGATGGAGTTATCAGACCTTACAGGTTGAGGGATGGGACTGGAAACCAGATGTTACAGGTGGGTGAAGAAATATCTTACACATTAAGATTAATTTAGTCAATTTCACTTTATTAAAAGTAGTTAAATAATATTTCAAATATATGTTAGATTATTTGGGTTTTTATGTTTTATTTAATTCTGTTTATAAGTTTCTTATATTTACTTAGGTTTTAATGTACATTTATTTACTATAAGATCTTTTTTCTTTTTTACAGGCATCAAAAAGTTTGATATGAAAACAGTTAATGCATGACTTTGCAAGTGAAAGCCAACAGTAGATTTTAGTCTTAAAATTTACGAACTACGTACAGCTGTTTCAGTATTTTGAATACAAAGAAAAGCTTTTTTATTGGTAACTTTTTGTATAGGATTTTAGTAAATTTGATCTTTTTATAGGGTATCCTTAGTTCTGTACCGGATTTGCTAGATTTGTTGAACACCATTTTGCCTTATGTACCCTCATAGTTGGTGGTACTTATTTAACCAATTAAACCATTTCTGTTTAGGGTACTTTCTTCTGCATATCAAGCCACTAGTAGCTTTTACAAGGTTCTCGTGTCCACTTGGGCATGGTTAAGGAAAAAACCAGTACCACTGCTGTTGGCTAATTTTTGGGTTCTTAGGCTTTTCTTTTGAAGATACTCCACTGGCCTTGACCCTGTTCCTGCCTTATGCTTGTGTAGTCTATTTAAAATCTGTGGAATCTGATAAGCAGTTCACATGAAAGCCAACATCTTTTATTAAGGAAAATTAGATTTGAAACAAATCTACACCCACCATTTGAAGGTAGAATATTTTATCTAAAATAATAGATACTTTTCTTACTTTGAAAACTGGACTTTTTAAAATTTGGATTATGGTGTAGGTAATATACCATAATAGATCATACCAATTTAAAGTTATTTCATCTGCGGTTTAGATGTCGACTACTAAATTAAATCATTTGTTTGCAAACAGAGAAGGAGTCATTATGTATATAAAGACCTGAAAACATTTGTAGTAATAATAAACTATGGGATATGGTCCTTCCTTTATAGCCTTGATATTTTAAATATTGTCATGTCTAAAATGATCATGGTAAATATTTAAAACTTCAATACTTTACCCACTACGTGCAGAGTATATAATTTTGCATAAAATGTACTTCCATCCATTGAGATAATGTGTTTTAGTGAAGTGATAGTGTATTTAAAATGTTTTTAAAGCATCAAAATAATTGCATATTGGGACAGAAGTGGCGATCTAGGGAGAGGTTGTGCTCTAAAAGGCATTTTGTGCAATCTCTACAATGACAGTATATCATTCTTTGAAAGATGGAGATGGTACAGAAGTCACCCGTGGTTAATACAATTGAAAATAAACTTCTACTCAATTCCTGCCTTCCCTTTTTAGGGAAGTAACATGTTACTTACATTAGTAGCTTATGTTAATAACATACTACTGACATTTTACTGGACTGAATATTAGATCACCTACTGAAAAACTAAAAATATTTCTTGAGAAACTTTTAACAAATTCAGTAAGAAGTAAGGATGAGTAGTGAGGAGAATTTAGAAATACATCCTCATTATTAGGAGATAGATTATGATAAATAAGAAAGCCATGAGATACCAGAAATTTCTCTCAGTTGATAACTTGATTTTAGTGACAGATTTATTTTATACCTTCATTAATGGTTTGCTAAAGCTTTAAACTTAGGGATTTAAAGGCCATGACCTTTGACTGTGTGTTTTAAAGGTACATATTATTTTTGATAGGCCAGTTTTAGTACTAACTGCTAAAAGAGCTATTTAAATGACTTAAACCTCACAATCCTTGTCAGCTATTTTACTTGTTTTTCAGCAAGAGTATTATTAAACACAATATTGGCTGGAATACCTATAGGAATTCACCAGAGGCCTTAGGATGATTGTGGTTAGCATTGTTCTCTTACAGGTGTAAGAAGTAGGTTGTTGGTTTGGTGGTAATGGTGCTTTTTTAATCAAAACTCTATTATTAGCAAATAGTTTACAATACATGAGTGCCAGTACTGTAGAAAAAAAGCAGATGACGTAGAAACAGGATTTAAAATCTCATCTGGAGAGATGTAATCTAAGTGGTTTAACATTGGTGCCTTAGAAAATGTTTAATACTTTAAATGTTTCTCCTTTTATTTTCTAATTCTCTAAAAAAAAGGTACTCTGTGTTCAGTAAATTATATGGGCATATATATAAGTAAATATAAAATACACTCCTTGGTTGTATGCCTTTGTATCTAGAAAGAAGTACTGTATTATAGTGCCTCCTACTAGTCAATTCAAGTTACCTACTAGAGAAATAGAATAATAATTCTCATATATTCATGGAATACCTTACTGGTATCATCCAACTATTTTATCCTTTGAGGGTACCAACCAATAGGTTTAGTCTTAGGTCTATTAAGTTATGGAATATTATATCTATAATAACTGCCCTACTCAGATCTGAACTCTGCCTTAAGATTATTCTGACTCCTTGAACATTTCATAATTTTACATGTTTTGCAAGCATTTTGCCATGCTTAACTAACCTTTGTGCTTCTTTTTTCCTCTACCATGCTTACAGAAAATTCAGGTCTACAGGGAGTGGATTATGACTCACAGTAGCAGTAGTGATGATGATGATGATAATGATGATGATGATGATGATGATTAGTCAGATCTGAAATGTTAAATTCATATGTTCTTTGTCATTTTATTTGGAATGTTTTATTAACATGTTTTGTATGACTGCTACCATAATGCCCGTATGTCCAGTTTTAGGGAATTTAAATCTTTTTCCTTTTAAAATGTTTTTCTACATATTTACAGAAAGCAAAGTAATTGCATTATTTAAGCACAGAAAAAATGTATTCTCCATCTAAAGTAGGGCATACTGTATATTCTAGCATTTGCTTACATATGTTTTGTAGCTTTGCAATGCAGAATTTATCTTTAAGATTTAAAGTTAAACTTAATTATTTTTTAATGTTCACTAATTTTATTTTCAATTATCTGCTTATTAGCAAAATGCCATTTTTAATATTCTCTGTAAATTTTCTGGGCTGTAATGTAATGCCATTGCATTAAAAAAATAGTAATAGCTAGTCAGTATTTTATATTTAGCATTTTAAAAGTATTTTTGTCAAATTTCTTTTAATAATAATAAACTTATATAACTTCAAGCAATATGAATTTGTTGTTCTATTCCAAAACCATATAGGTTGTACTGCTATTATAAGGAGCATTCATGATTTGTTATGGAAATTAGACAGTGACATAATTTATAGTCTTAGAATGAAAAAGGAAGTTCTGTTCTTTGGTTCACTTTTTATTTCATTATATATATATATATATATATACACACACAATGAACACAGTTGGTTTTATAGTCACTATATTATTAACCTAAATATCCATATGCTATATCCCTATTATAAAATATTAAAAATTCAGGACATTAGAAGATTTTTTATGGTAAGCATAATTATGTATGCTTGTTCTTGGTTATATTGGAAAATATTATCAATGTCTCTGAACGATCTGTGAGCAGAACTGTTTTATGTTTTGTGCACTGAAGGGTTTTCTTTAATTTTCAATTTAGATAAAACTATTCTGTCCTGTTTCACTAGTAAGTTAGATATACCAAAAAAAAAAAAAATCCTCTAAAGAGTGAATGACTGTTAGTAATATGATGGGTTTTTTGGAAGTTTTTATTTAAATTCCAGTACAGTTAACATCCAGTGTAAAACTAGTTTCAGGTATATGGTATAGTGATTCAACACTTCTATACATCACCTGGTACTCAACACAAGTGCTCTCCTTAATCCCCATCACCTGTTTTACTCCTCCCCCCACCACATACCTCCCCTCTGGTAACCACCAGCTTATTCTCTGTAGTTAAGAGTCTATTTCTTGGTTTGTGTGTCTCTCTCTCTTTTATAGTAATATGATGTTTAATCCCTATGACTGCTGTGCTTTGGGATCAACAAAGAAACATTTACCTTATTTATGTTAATCAGTTTATGTATATTGAGCCTATATGAATTAGATTATAATAAATAACTGCCTTAATTGTTCAACTTTTGGCTTTATTGATTCAGCCCATGATTTCTGAGTCTAATCCTTAAGTTTACCAAGATTTTATTTCTATATATCAGTATTCTCTATTTCTTAGAAAATGACTATTTTAATTTTTTAATATTGAGCTTACAAAAAATGATGCTAAAACGTATAAGACATTTCTTTTGAAATGTCTACCTACCTAGCATTCGTTTATTAAGTAGAAATCCAGGTTGTGTGTACTAGGACTAAGAAATATGTGAGTGCCAAAGAATGTGTTTTCATCAAAATAATATTCTTATCTTTTTGGAATAAGTAAATACATGAGAACAGTGACCATTGAAATAGTCATGACTGGTATCAGAGACTGGTATTTGGTCCCCACTGGTCTCTCTCACCCCTAGCCAAAATCATACAAAACCTACTCCTACAAGAAGCTAGAAAGAACACAGCCTATTGTTACGTATTGTTGTATGCCTTAGGAAAGAGAGGTCTGGAAATGTCTTCTTTGGCTTTTTACATTTCAACTAGACACGGGGCCTTTCTAAAAGGGAAAAATGCTAAAATTCTTGATTGGAAGGCATTTACTGAGTTTCCTGTGGTTGGTCTATGACACTTAATGCCATGGTACAGTTTTCATAAAGATTTGTAAGAATTTATCTGGAAAAGTTCTGGATATTTCAGCATTGACTTGCCATTTTAATGCAAAGAAAATTTTAAGTAGGATTACATTTATTTAAAATCCCTTGAATAGTGAAATGATTTAGAACAATATTCTAGTAGCTAGTAAACTGTCATGTGGCTCATGTGGTCCTAAGGATTCATCAGTCTTACGTTTTTAACCCTTCTTAGAAGTGAAATATGTTCTTTAACAGTATAATTGTCCTTGTTCTTTCTGTTTTTGTTTTCCTGCCACAGTGAAAAAATCTTTTCAAGCTCCTTTGACCACAGATACTATTT